TATATTTGGTAAAGAAATAGTGGTAAAGTATAAATGGTAGAGAAATAGTGATGACTCTCTAACAGGTTTTTGTTTTGTTATGAGTAAGATGGAGCACATTTTCCTGTTTGTGTCTTTCAAGTTGGCCTCTTCAAAGATGGGCTCTTTGTCATTTTGAGATTTTGAGATTTGGTCATGAGCCAAATTTGGAACCCATCCTTCCCTAGGCTTTGTCTTCTGGGCTGAGAAGCCCTATGTTTGGACCCAACCTCCCAGTCCTCTGGGTCTCAGGCCTGGCTTCTGGGTGGCCCTGGGCTTGTGGGAAGAACCTTCTAGAAGCTGAGGCCTAGTCTTCCTCGAGGCTGCTCCCACTCTTGTGCAGGGGTGTGCATGTCATAGAGGCCTTGGTGACTGGGCCTTGTGCTCTAGCAGAGGACATGGGTGAGTAGGGAGACCCCAGCTGATAACTGTCTTTTCTCTCAGTGTCCCTGTGAAGGAAGCACTCCCTGGCATCATTAAGCAGGGAGTAAACTGCTTAGAATCCCAGGGCCAGGACACAGCTGGAGACTTCCTGCTCGGAATGGGGATCTGTAGAGGCTCTGCCAAGAGCCCCCTGCCTGCCCAGGTAAGCTGCTGCGGACCCAGGAGCCAGGAAGGGGCCAGGGTCTTCCAGATCCTCCTCACCCTCTTTCCCAGTGACCCTCAGGCTCTGCAGCATGGTCAGTGTGTATGATGGGCAGCAGCCTTCAGAGCTCTGCACATGAGCAAGCGCACGAGTGTCACCCCCGTCAACCCTGGAGCTGGCTGTGTGGACCTCAGTGGGGCCCAGTTCTGAGGCCTCCTGATCCCCTGTCCTGTTATCTTTTCCTGTTCCCAGGGACTCTTGACACCTCCTTGATTGCCCTCTGCTTGGCCCCATCTCAGTATTTGACTATAAACACTTTCAAGCCAAAGAGAAATAATCGGGGTGTGGTGCATGCCTGTAGTCCCAGCTCTCTGGGAGACTAAGGCAGGAGGATCTCAAGTTTAAACTTTGGCAACTTAATAATGCCCTCTCTCAAAATCCAGAAGGGCTGAGGATGTAGTTCAGTGTGAAGACTCTCAGTTCAATATCCAATATGGAAAAACAAAAAGGAAAAGACAAGAAAAGAAAAGCTGAAAGATATGTATAGTGAATTCTCACATACCTTCCCCTTGCTTCTATAATTATTTGTGGGAAATTCCACTGCTTTTGTAGAATACAGTGCAGCTGCTTTCTCGCCTGTCGTCCCACCTCTCCGTGCAGAACTGTCCTTTCCTTGTCTTGCAGGCATGGCTGTTCAGTGACCATCTCATCCAGCAGCAGGGCAAATGCCTGGCTGCCACCACCTCCACCTCCGCGTCCTCTCCAGGGTCCTCCCCAGTCGTCCTGCAGGTGTGCAACTCCAGAGAAGGTAAACAGGTGAGCCGAGCCCCTGCTACACACACACACACACACACACACACACACACACACACACACACAGGTGACCTGGCAGACTCTGCCCGGGGAGAACTGCCGTCGATGGGCAGTCTCAGATGAACCCTGAGGTGAGGGCTGGTGTGACCTCAGTCCCCACCCGGCCTCATAGCTCACTCAGGAAGACACCGCATCTCCAGGTCATATATGCTTCCTAGCAGCCCCGCCCGTCAGAGGCAGAAGCAGGTTGTCCTAAGTGTTAACCCCATTTCCTGAGTCCCTGCTACCATGCCATTTAAATAGACACTAGCATCTTCTCACCCTCACTGCCTGCGGGGTGGTCCTGGCACATGCCCTATTTCACAGGTGAGTGAAGCAGGTCATGTGCCCACACATCTGGGAAGAGGAGGAGCCAGGACTTGTACTCACAGCACCTAGTGGGGGCCCAATCAGTTTTTGTGGGTTTTTTGTCTTTGAGACAGGGTCTCCTTGTGCAGTTCATGCTGGCCTTGAGCTCACTTTGCAGCCCAGGCTGGCCTCGAACTCACAATGTTCCACCTGCCTCAGCCTCTCGAGTGCTGACATTACAGGTGTGCGCCACCACACTGGGCTCCAATCGGTATTTCTTGACTGCTGGCTGACTGTGAGGACCCAGGGCCAGATGTGGCAATTTCCAAGCTGATGTGACTGGCTCAGGGGGTGGGGGGGCTTAACTGTTTGTCCCTCACTCTCACCCACGCTGCCTCCCTGAGTCCTGGTCAGGGTGACCTGTACAAGAGAAACTGTGGCTTGGGGAGAGAAAGCTACCTGCTCTGACACCCAGCAGCCAGTGACAAGGGGAACCCGGCTGCCCATGCTGCTGCCACCCTCCTGGCTGAAAGGGCTCCCTGCTCCTGTGCTGAGGCTGCCCAGCCCTTGCCTGTCCACCCCTCTGCCAGTGCCACTGTGCCTGACTCTGGCCAGCTATGCCAACCTGCAGGAGTTTCCTTCCACCCTCATCTCCTTTGCTCTCCTCCTTTCTTCCCTCTCCCTTCCCCAAATCTCCAGCCATTTAAAAAAAAAATTATTTTGTGATATGCTCAACTAAGTTGTCCAGACTGCACTTGAACTTGGGATCCTCCTACCTTAGCCTATCAAGTGGCTGGGATTACAGACATGTGCCACCACACCTGGATCTCCCACCCTGTCTGCCTACCACGGCTCTTTCTTTAGAGATGACTAGAAGTTCGCTGTAGCTTTCAGGGTCCTTTCCCTGCAGCCTAGTGTGTGTGTGTGTGTGTGTGTGTGTGTGTGTGTGTGTGTGTGAACGCACGCACGCGTGCCTGCGCATGCGCCTAGGGAGTGCTCTGCAGCCTCCTTGCTGGGCCTGCTGGGTGCAGCAGAAGTGCTTTTCCACTGGCAGTGCAGCTTGTCCTTCCCCAGAGGCTGCACGTCCTCCACCCTGCCCTGTGGCAGCTGGTACACAAGCTGCCCTTCGCCTGGAGCTCCTTGAGCCCATGCCAAGGTTGAGGCTAGAGGGGGGAGTCACATGCCAGGGCAGCCTCCCCTCAGATACTCCCTTGGCTGGGCACCACTTTCCCATCTGGGCTGAGCTGGCCCTCTTGTGCTGCTCCTGCCAGGACTCCTGGTGCCTGGGCCTCTGCTCTCCTGGAGGGTGGGATGAGCCGCCATCCCTTGACATGGCCTTCTGGCCTCACTTGGGCACCTTTGGCTCTGTTCCCAAGGCCAGCAGGGGCTCATGTGTCCCAGAGGCTCCTGTGCCCTAGAGCAAGTGTGACGGAGGCTGCAGGCCCCAGCTCAGTCTTTCCTGCGCTCCCAACCCCACCCTCTTCACTTATAAAAGGAACCTGCAGAAAATAGAGACCGGACAGTGTGTGCTGATATGGTGTCTGATCTCTAGGCAGTGGCCTGGAGTCAGAGAGGCCCTCATATGGCCTGGTGGCATCTGAGGTGGCACTGAGCACCCTGCCATGTGGGGAGCACTTCCTAGTGCCTGGGTGATTCATTCCTTTATCAGGAACCAAAAGTGCACTGGGTGTCTCGCTTGGGTGACAGACGGTACAGATCACGCTGGCCACAAGGGTGAAAGCAAACCACAAATGTGCACCTGAGGCACTTATGTGGTGGGGTGGAGGCTGCCACGTTACGGAACTTCCACACCAAGGCCATACTTAGCCTACACTTCAGCCCAGGCTGGGGCTGCCTGCTACCTGGATGTGTAGTCAGCAGGACCTGCTGGGGCGAGGGGGGCCACACTGTCCCCAGCTGGCTAGGGCTGGGGTTTGGCCTGGGTGAGTTAAGTGTGAGGAACTCCTGGGTACAGGGCAGAAGCCTTACAGGGACCACAGGCCTGTCTTGCCCCCTGCTCCTGACTTTTTGGCTTCCAGTTGGGCCCATGTGGGGAAGGAAGGCCTCATTCCCAAGGGAAGCCCAGACTCCACAGTTTGCACTCCCCACCCTGCCCGCCCTCCTACCCTCCTGAAGCCCTGGCCTGGCCCGCAGCTGCATGCAGCACCCCTTCTTCCCCTACCTGCTCCCTGAGAGCAAGGGCCCTCCTGGGTTCCATCCACATGGTCAGGAGCACACCCACCTCTTACAGAGGATAAGGTGGATGTAGGGCGGGAAGGGAGGGTAGCTGCATGGGAGGAAATCAGAGTGACACCAAAGAGAGACCTGCCTGGCTAGTCAGTCTTTCCAGAGACCTGAATCCTGGGCCTCAGCCTCTCATCCTCCCCCTCTGGGCTCCAGTCAATGCTCCATCCTCCATCCAGGATCTTCTAAAATGTTCTCCCAACCTGTAGACCTGGGGGAGGAAGAACAGGAAGCGAAGGCCCGATAGGGAACTGGAGTCCTCCCAGTATCCGGCGGGGTAGCCTTGACTTCAAGGATGGTGGCGAGTCCCCACTAGAGAACGTGGGGAACCAGCCTCATGGTTGCAGGTCAGGTGAGACGCGTAGGGCTACAAGAAGAGGAAAGCTTGTTCAAGGAAGAGATTCATCAAGTCTAAGACTCACCACCTGGGGTTCCTACAGGAACTGGTAGGGAATCCCCAGCAGGAGAAAAGTCAGGACCAGGCAGGCTCTACAGCGAGACTGAGACCAAGGGCCCCGTCTACATCCAGGGCAGGCAAATCCCTAACAGAGGCTGCACCAGAGACTGGGCCCAATAGCCAAGCAGAAGCTAAAAATACAGACTTGTAAGTGGTGACGAAGCCAAATTTTAAGTGAGCCCTGTGCCAGCCGAACGTGTGCCTTCAGCAGCCCCAGGGCAGGACATTGCCTCCTCTGATCTAGGCAGCAACTAAGGCCAAACTGCAGAACGGCTGTGAGCTTCGGGCAGGGTGGACGGCCCTTCCACGAGGCCACACAGTCTGCTTTCAGGGAGGGGACCTGCCTAGGGTTGTGCATGCACCGGTGACATGAAGGCGCAGTCATTGTCATTGTTTTAATCATTGCTTTCTCTTTCTCCCTCTTTCTCTCATCCCTTCCAGAAGTGGAAGAGAAAAGGATCTTTCATCCAGCATTCCATTAGTGGCCTATGCCTGGAGACGAAACCAGCCCAGCTGGTGACCAGCAAGTGTCAGGCTGACGCCCAGGCCCAGCAGTGGCAGCTGCTGCCGCACACATGACAGTAGCCCTGGGACTCCTGTACCTTTTGCATGAGACTTTGGGACCAGAAGGGGGTTAGGGTGGGACAGTGTCAAGTGGGCCGTTTCTGCCTCCTCCCATTTCTGCCAGGATCATCAGCAGACATCCCCGGGGTGCATTTCTCCAAAGCTTGAGCTGGGGACGGGGCGGGGGGCGCCTTGCCGTGTCCTGGGAGAGGCGATGGTCAGGTGCCAGGCTGTTGCTGGCAGGCTGGGCAGGCACCCTGTGTCCTCTCCCTTGGCCCTTCTGAGGTCTGATGGTGGTGTGTGGATCCTCCTCTTGTTGCATGGGGAGAGCAAGGTCAGAAGCCTGCACAGTCACCCAGGATCCTGGGGCCTGCCATGGGGACAGCAGAAGAGAAAGTGGGTGGCATTTCTGGAGAGGCTGAGGGCTGGGAAGAGAGAGAGGAAAAGAGGGGCTGCCTGCAGGGTGGGCAGCATGAGGAAGGAGGTGATCTCAGGTCTGTCCAAGAGATGCCGAGCCTGGGGCTTGGCTGTGGCAGGAGTGGGGCATCCTGGGGTAGATGGATGCATCACAGACCAGGCCTCAGGACCCCACCCATCCACCCTGGCCAGCCCTGTGCTGGGTATGACACGCCCTCTCTCCTCTGTGGGTGTCCACAGGCTCTGCAGGAGGTTGCAGAGGGATCTGGGATATCCTTTGTAAATGGACTCCACTTCTGTTTGACCTTGTGTCCCCCAGGACCTCTCTCTTGGGCCTTAGTGGCCAGCTGGTGTCCTGTCTCCTCCACCTGATACCCCTGGGAGGATGGGCAGCCACCATGCATCTCCCCTGCATCTTTGCCTCTGTAAATACAGCATCATGGGTCAGGGCAGCCAGTAAGAATAGGACCTCCCTTCTGAATGGAACATCCCCTGTGAGACATGGTGACAGGCTGTCACCCAAGCGACACCTCATCTTCAGCCCCTTCCACTGTGGGGAGAGACCTCCTTCACTGGTCAGCTGTCCCAGGGGGCTGGGAGGCTGGCTGGTGGCTTCTGTCTGGGGAGAGAATTCCCAGATCCTTCTCCCAGCCACAGAAAGCACCACTTCCACTCCTCCTGCAGCCCTGCTTGGGGTCCCTTCGGTGGTTCCCCCGACCCCATCGTGCCCTGTGCCACTGGCTCAGGCAGTATGATGGTGGGGGAAAACTTGGTACCAGAACCCCTGAGGTCTCTGTCCCAGTGCAAATCTCCCTGATGTGGACACCTCTACCTAGTCTTTCAGGACATCCAGAAGGTTTAGGGGTTTCTAGAAATTGTCCCCACAGTATTCCATTATGTGTGTGCACATAGACATCTTTCCTGGGGAGGGGCCCATGGAGTCCCCCAGCTTCTTGAAGAGGTCCCCAGCCCTGCTAGGGTCTCAGTCTCTGCTAGGGAGTGGAGCCACCGTCTGTCTGAGCTGCCACCCCTATAGTCCCTCCTGCTGTGCCAAAATGGCCTCACCCTGCTCCCCTGTGGCCTTTGGGTGGGGAGTGCGTATCTGGGGTCCACAGCAGCAGTCATGGAGCCATGTCCAGTGCACTCTTCCCTTCCTCTGCTGTGTAGTTTCACTGCCACCATCCCGGGCCCCCTGGGCCCCCAGGAAGCCACCAGCCACAGCTGAGGACAGAGCCAGGGCCAGAGTGGAGACTGTGCCATGGCCCCTGTCCTCGGCCAGCTCAGGCGCGGACTGCTGCTCAGAGCGCCTTCGAGAAGGTCTCTCCCTCATCGCTTCCCGGGGTCGCCAGGCTCTGCATTTGTCAGCTGTCCTTTGTGGGGATTCAGTCCAATTCTGGTTTTGCTTTTCCTCTTCTTTACCAAAGCATGTGCCACTCGCTGTCCTTGAGCTGTCCTCAAGGACACTGTCTTTATGAAACACACACCTGGAATAAAACCATTTCTTACAAGTTCACAGGCGCCAGAGCCTTCCTTCCTTCCTTCCTAGCTCCCAGGCCTGCCCCTCACAGCCCACTCCTGAACTGCACCAAGGAGCTACCTATACTAGGAGGCCCAATTGTGGGCCTGCCACTAGGGCAGGGCCAGGGCTGGAGCCCATGGACCAGTGCACACCAAATCAGGCTCAGCCTCCTGTTTCAGGACATTGCTGGGCCTTGGAAATAGACATCCAGGAACATCTCCTGGGGGATGTGGCCACACTGCCCTTCATGCCACTAGTCAACCCTCTGCACTGCCCTGGGAGCCGGGCCTGGCTGCCCTGAGCTGCCCTTCCCCTTTGCTACTACACAAGAAGGAAGTGGTAAAAATCTAAGCAAAATATTCAAAATAATTCTAGAATGAGTCCCTCCTCAGCTTAGGCTTGCTTGATCAAGTAGCAGATGCTCTACCTAATGTTTCCCTGGAAACCAATTGGAAACCCCCATCACTGCTGTGATCAGAAGCTAAACCCATTCAGGTAAAAATAGATGCTGCGTCAGTACATGTAGGAATCGCAGCGGGCGGGTCACGGTGCCATGAACCTCTCCTGAGCACAGGCATTTGTGCCCCAGCCTCTACTTCTCTCAGAGCTTAGGGCAAAGCTCTGCTGGCAGCAGTCATGCGACCCAGATGCAGCATGCGGCTGCTTCTGGACGAGTCCCTGGGCCGCCCCTGGCTGCAGTCTCCACCAGTCACTTGTGTGCCTCCCACAGGGAGCCCGGCCACTACTCCGCCTCTTCCTGGCCAGGTGGGGCCAGGTCCCTCTCTTCATCCTCTGTCCCCACAGCCTTCAGGAGCTCCAGAGTTCGCGTCTTCTGAGCCAGGCTTTCTTTGCTTGCTGTCCTCCATGCAGGCTTCCCTTCTCTCTGGAACTGAGGCTGGTGGCCAGACTCAGCCAGAGGGACACCCGCTTCAGCGCCACCTCCCAAGTGTCCAGCTTAGTTCCTGGTCCTGGGCCTTTGGGATTTGGTTTCTGCTTTTGTAGCACGGGGGAATCAAGCCCCATGGCTGCAGATGCACAAGTGGGCGCTCTCACCCCATTCTCTTGGCTTTGATTTTCACGAAGGCTCTTCCTAATTCATTGATAGGGTTCTCCCATCTGCATTTTGGGGAACAGACCCAGTTGACATCACTATTCTCCAAGGGGTCTGGCACCCCACAAGCTGAGAAATGAAGGGGTACAGTCTTCCCCCAGGAAAGCAGAACAGGCTGGAGTCCATGATGCCCACTGGTCCCTCTGAGGGTGTGCTGTGTTGGTGTGTGTGTGTCCCTTGTGCTGCAGCCAGTGTTCCTCCAGAAGATGGGAGTGGACACCCCCGACTCCTCTCTGGGTAAGAAGTCAAGCCAGCATTAATGTCATCCCAGCATCCATTGCTGGGAACTAAGCAAAGCCCAGAGGTGAATGCAAACAGCAGCCACTCAGTCCTGGCTACTCCTCAGCTGGGCTGTCTGGGTACCTGCTGGACCAAGTCTCCAAGGCCATCTGAAATCACCTCCCTCCTCCTGAGGCCACTGTGAAGTTTGGGGAAAAGCAAAGCAGACTCTATAGACCCCATCAGCAGGGCCAACACCTTCTGCCACTTAGGAGCTGTGTAGACTGGAATAAACGATTTCATCTCAGCCTTGGTTTCCCGACCTGTAGAATGGGGGCACTGGAGGACTTTTTTAAAGACTAACTTATTTGATGATCATCTGACCCATCCTAAATGCTAAGTAAATCTACATTGTTACTATAATTACTAAGCTTTCTCTGAATGTCTGGCTTTTTGTAGGAGGATGACATGAATGTTAACAAGACAGAAAAGGGACCTGTTGTTGAGTTAATACTCTATGAGGAGGATGGACAAATAAGCTACAGCTTGCAAACTATAAATTAAGAACTGTGGCTGGCCAGATAGCTCAGCAGATCAAAGCACCTGCTCAGGTAGATGCAGGGACTGGCGTTCAGTCCCCATAGTGATGTGCCAGCCACACTCCCAGGGGCGCACTGAGACAGTGATTGAGACTGAGTGTGGTGGCACATGCCTGTAATGCCAATGTTTGAGAGACTGAAAACAGGAGGATCACTACAAGCCCAATCTATGTAGTGAGACCCTGTAGACCTTATACTAAATACATTTTAAAAAAAAGAAAGAAAGAACTGCATGGACTGGGGAGATATCTCAGTTGTCTAAGAGCCTGCCTGGCAAGCACCAAAGACCCAGGTTTGATCTCTGCTACTGTATACTGTGCCGGCAGAACCCTGGGCATGCCATGTAGGCCTCTGAAACCAGGTGTGGTGCCACATGCCTGTCGTCCCAGTGCTGGGGAGGCTGAGACAGGAGGATCACTATGAGTCTGAGCTGAGTAGTGAGACCCTGTACCAAATAAATATACAAAAGATTAAAAAACAACAACACAATGCTACATGCTAAAAGTAGGAATTATGAGACCACTAGGGCTGCTCTGTCCCTCAGACAGCTTTGAGGGCAGCTTGAGAGGCCACCATAAGCTGTGCCTGCCCTGAGCTGGAGAGGTCTGGTGAATCGGCACAGCAGACACTTCTTGGCTTTTTACCCTGTGTGCACAGAGTCAGGGTGAGCTGGGTCAATCTGTGACTCAGAACTCCGGAAGGAAGCCACGGAAGCAAGCAGACGGCCCTCTGCCACTTGGGCGCGTGACTGTTTCTCCAGGGCTCAGTTTTCTTCCTTTGGGGAGGAGCAGGATGAGGTCTAGAGAGCCGTGTGCTGCTGGCCTGGGGAGTGTAAGTGCAGCAGTCAGGCCGCTCTGCTCCCGGGAAAGATGCGTTTTCTCCTTGCTCTTAGGTGGTCTCTGACCCCCTGGAGCCATCTGAAAACCAATCCTATCTTGCAACAAGTTATCTCTCAAAGAAATGACTCCCAAGGTATGGCTTGGAAAACCTGCTCAAAGCCCCTCGAAGGGCCTGGAAATGGGTGCATTCCGGGCTCTGGCCAGATCTGCTGCAAAGCCCTCCTCGAGGACAAACAGCTGGGCTTGCAGTCACTCTCCTGGGTTCCCAGTGCGTCCTTGCAAGGCAGCTTTCCGCACATCACCTTGGAATGTACCAGAAAGGCACATTCAGTCCCACCCAGACCTACTGAGCAGAAGCTCCATGTTTCCTGAGCCCCAGAGGATTCCAAGGCCTGCTCAAGTCTGAGTGGTACTGGTTAGGTGATAGAGACAGGTTCTGGTCCCCACCTGGGGCCTACGGGTCACACCTGGTCAGAAGGCTCAGCGAGCTGAGCTGCAGCAGCTGCGCTAAGCAGGCTGCCTGTCACAGTGGCCTGGGCCGAGTGTGGGCGGGCACGAGGCTGGCCAGGGGTTGCATGGAGCCAGCTGCCACCTGCCAACCGTGCTTTGTGCGCTTTATGAGTCTCTATCTCAACATAGACCACATACTGCTGGCTTCATGCTGCCACCCCACAGGGCATCAGCGTCACCCACCCAGCCTGCACAGTGGGCACACAGGCTACCGTAAGGCCCGCGGACGGCAAAGCCCTGCCTACGGCTCCTCCACCTGATGAGCTCCGCGGCCACTTCTGCCATTTATGGGCCAGACGCCAAGCATCAACTCTCTCAGCTTCTTCAGCACTAACCGCAACTCTGTCAGGAAGGCAGGTGCATGTCGCCCCACTGACAGAGCGGGAAGCCTGGAGAGGTTAACACAGCTGTCCCCAACCTCCTTGGCCCTGGGCACAGGTTTCGTGGAAGACACATCAGTGGGTGCTAGGGGGTGCTTTGGGGGATGATTCAGAGGGCATGCAGCCTAGCTCCCTCATGCACAGCTCATGGTGGGCTTGCAATGCGCTCTCCCAAGAGGACCCAGCGCCTCTCTCCCTGCCAGGAGGCGGAGCTCAGGTCATCACTTGAGAACACAGATCAGAGGCCCGCCTGCTGCTCATCTGCTGAGCACCCCAGTTCCCAAGAGCCCACAGACTGTGCCAGGGGCTGGGACCCCGTGATGACACACACTTACTCCAAGCTGCCTAGCTGGTAGGAGGAAGGGCTAGGATTAGACCTGTGGCGCCTGCCCCAAGGTTCTCTCAATTTAAGCCAACTCTGAACTTTTGGGTTTTTTTTGTCTTTTTGAGACAGAGTCTCACTATGTGTCCAAGCTGGCCTTGAACTCTCTTTGTAGCCCAGGCTGGCCTCGAACTCGCAGCAATCCTCCTGCCTCGGCCTCCCAAGTGCTGGGATTACAGGTGTGTGCCACCACGTCTGGCTCCAGCCCTGAACTTTTAATCTCCTCCACTTTGCCGCCTCCTCCTCCTTCCCCTTCCTCTCCCCTTCTCTTCCTCTTCCCCCTCCCCTCTCTCCTTCCCCTCTTCCTGTATTGGAGCCCAGTTGGAGCCCAATTCCCACATTGCCCTTGAGCACACAGAGGCCCTTGCCCTGCCGGTTCTGAGAAGCTGGAGAGGGAGGGCGGCAGGGGGAGCCGTGCTGTCATCTCACAGCTGCAGAGAGGCCTGAGCGGCTGCGACACCTGACACTATAGAGCAGGATACCGGGAGCACAGGACACACAAACCCAAGGACACGATGTCATTCCCTGATCCAGAGGTGACCTGGCAGCAGAACCTCAGCAGAGGACAACTCACCCCTGAGATCTGGCCCGGCGCCAAGCTGCATGGCCCACCTCCCCCTGCCCTCTCGCCAGGGCTGATTCCTCGATCATCCTCCTACCATTAAAGTTCTCCATACATTAGTTTTATGTCTGCTTCGACCTCCCTGCCCTGTGGCTGTGTCCACGTGAGGTGG